AAACATTCTGTCGATAATTCAGCCCATTGTAATACAACAATGTGTAGCGCGGTGTCGTGTTCAGCTTGACTATGAACACTGCTACAAGACTACGTGCCAATTAACCAATAAGATCCCCGTAGGCCAATATCAGAAGACAGATGATGGCTGTAGTCGAGATGTATTTGTTGGCGATCTCGTGGTATCGAAAGAATACCGAGATCATGACAAAGGAGTACAAATGCGATCGGCAATGAAAGGTACGTGCGTAGTCACAAACCGCGTAGAAGTAATGGAATACAATGGAAGACCAAAATGGCTGTTATTAGCACAGTTAAACAAACGAGCACAATAAAACAATCACTGGTACAATTGGTTATAATAATAATTGTTTTCATCGTTCTGTTGACAAAAGTAGGTCACTACAGGAGCCCCTCGCTAGAAAGGGTTTACACTTTCGATAGTTAGCGGTTTGATTCGTGGGACTGATCGGAGAAGTGCGGTTGTAGGACGGAGGAAATTGGCGGAACAAGAAGTGATCGTTGATCCTCGAGTTGCCGAAGAAAATCTTTTGCGCAGAACGGTACCAGGAGAAGTGTGCTGTATTTTTTGGTCGAGTTAACATACCACACCAGAGTGGTTCGTATCCAAGATCTGATGATTGCGTTCGTAGGGATGCGAACCAGAAAACGCTGCAGACGTAGGACGAAACCACGTTGAGCCAAGAAACCGGAAGCGACCATATCGACCAAGCGTATGCCAGGCGAATTCGAGACCAGATAATCGACTGAGTGCATTGACTAGAGCATGGGTGACCAAACCAGCTTTTGACTGAAGTCGACGTTATCAAACGGGCGATGGTCGGAGGCATGGGCTCAAGATACAAAAAAATCAAAAAAAGAAAAGTGTAGCATGCGTGTAGTATAGGAATAATTTTACACCGTATGTTATTTTCTGTGTGGTTAGTCGCGAAAGCGTACGGGTAATCGTACTCGGCGACCGGAACGTGAGACGGTGGTCTCGTTCGTACTTCGTGAGCCTGCGATCTCATCCGAGGTCAAGGGCGGCGTGGTCTGCCGATCTGGACGTGAGACGGAAGTCTCGTTCGTAGATGGTGCAGATGACGCGTGCTGTTGACCGGGACGTGAGAACGAGGTCTCTGATGTATCTAGCGTGGGATCCGAGGTAGACGTGGAGATCCCGCTAGTAGGTTTGATAGGTCTAGCATTGAGTCTCAAGTTATCGGGTAGGGCACTGTCATCGACGTGTGCTGGTTTGAGACGATCAATGCTGACGATCTCGACGCGGCCGTGTCGACCAACCTTGAAGGTCTTTTCGTGACGAGAGATCACGTGAAAAGGGCCCTCGTAAGGCTGTTGTAGAGGTTTGCGTACCGAATCTACTCGTATGAAAACATGTGAACAGGTAGATAAATCTCGAGGGAGAGCGACCTGTCGATGTTGTATTCGAGTTGACACCGGAGACAGCGTTCGCATAAATGCAGACAGTCGATGGACGTAGTCTGATTTACCGAAATCATTACTGCTCCGTGGTGTGAAGAATTCCTCAGGCAGACGCAATGTCATGCCGTATACAAGTTCAGCGGCGGAACATTGGATATCTGCCTTCAAACTCGTTCTGATGCCTAAGAGAACGAGCAGTAAGGTTTCGTACCAATTGTCGTTTTCGTGTGCTCGAAGAGCACTTTTAAGTTGGCGATGAAACCACTCAACTAAACCAATTGATGCTGGGTGGTAGGCGGTAGTGCGTATGCGTTCCGTACCAAGCAGCCGGGTCAGTAAGGAGAATAATGCGGACACGAATTATTGTCCTCGGTCAGTCGTGACAGTCGAGGGACAACCGTACAGTGCTATCCATCGTTCTACGAAGTAGTGAGCAACTGTCTCCGCCGTGATAGACGTGATGGGAATAGCTTCGGGCCATCTTGTTAAACGGTCAATGCGATGGTGGCAATGGTCCTACAATGTCTATATGAACGTGATCAAAGCGAGCATCAGGCGTAGCGAACGTGCCGATGGGGGCAGCTACGTGCCTGTGCACTTTTGATCGTTGACACTGTAAGCATTGCTTTACCCACATACGAACATCTTTATTCATGAACGGCCAGACGTATCGTGCAGCGATGAGACGTAATGTGGATGCGATACCTGGATGAGACAATCCATGAAGGGAATCGAAGACGAGACGGCGATAGGCAGAGGGTACGATGGGTCGAGGAAGACCGGTAGAAGTATCACATAGGATAGTACCTGAGCCAGTAACTAGAGGTACTTCCTGGCACTGAAAGGTAGAAGATTGTGGTGCTTCTGTACAGACAGGATCGTTTGCTTGCGCGGCGGCCATAGCAGGAAGATCGAGCACCGGTAAGGTAACTGCATTCGTCTGGATACGTGAAAGAGCATCGGCAACATAGTTCGACTCGCCTTTAATGTGACGAAGGTCTGTCGTGAACTGTGAGATATAGTCCAAATGTCTGCACTCTCGTGGTGAGTAGCGGCCAGACTTGGTATGCAGGGCATACGTTAAGGGCTTATGGTCGGTGAATAAAATGAATTGACGTCCTTCTACTGCGTGCCGGAAATGTTTGATGGCGCAGTTGGCTGCACGCAGCTCGCGACCAAAAGCGCTATATCTCGTCTCCGTGGGAGTAAGGCGTCGTGAGAAAAATTCGAGCGGTTGCCAACTACCGGAGATATTCTGTTGCATAACGGCTCCTATAGCAAAATCTGATGCATCAACCGCTATACTAAGCGTGGCTGATGGGTCAGGATAAGCGAGAAGTGTAACTTCAGCGAGAGCAGTTTTGATCTATGAAAATGCAGTACGTGCGGTATCGTTCAATTCTAATTTGCGTGGATTACCGCGTAGTAAATCGGTTAATGGTCGTAACCGTTCTGCCGCGTGAGGGATAAAACGTCGGTAGAAGTTAACCAAACCGAGAAAAGCCTTCAGTTCCTTGATTGAGGACGGCACGTTGTACTCCTTGATTGCTCGAATTTTGTCCTCGCAAGGCAGAATACCCTCTTGTTTGATGATGTGACCCAGAAATATTATTTCTGATTTACCCAATTCACATTTCTCTGGGTTGACTACTATTCCATTATCCGAAAGACGTTGGAATAATAGCGTAAGGTGTTGATAATGTTCATCTACGTTTGATGATGCGATCAGCAGGTCATCAATATAGACGTGAACAAAATCGAAGTCTCGTACTATGCTATCGATAAACCTTTGGAAAGTTTGAGCAGCATTCCGTAATCCAAATGGCATTCGTAGGAACTCAAACAGACCGAAAGGAGTCGTGATAGCAGTTTTCTCGATGTCTTCAAGAGCGACTGGGATCTGGTGATATGCTCGTACCAGATCGATTTTAGAAAAGATAATCGTGCCCTTGAGCGATGCCGTGATGTCACGTATGTGGGGGATGGGGTAGCTATCAAAGCGCGTAATTACGTTTAATGCTCGGTAGTCGCCGCATGGTCTCCAACTAACCCCATCCTTTTTGCGCACCATGTGTAAAGGAGAGGCCCAAGGACTGTGAGAAGGACGAATAATACCAGCAGATGGTAAATTGTCAAACTCACGTTTAGAGAAAGCTAATTTGTCCGGTGCCAGTCGGCGTGGTCTTGCCATGACTGGTGGTCCGCGGGTGACTATGTGGTGTACCACACGATTGGTCACCGACGAAATCTCCACGAGTGGTTTAGTTATTCTAGGGAATTTCTCGAATAAGGCGTGGAATTTATCGTCACGCGAATAAAAAGTGCCGAGGATTCGGTACGCGCACATCGGAGTCTATTATATCAGTCATGTCGAGTATACTATATATTAAAAATTGTGAAATTATATGACAGACGTGGATAGATAAACAATAGACTCACCAGATTGAATTCGTTGGAAGATTTGACCAGAGGTTGATGCATGTTACCAGATTTGGTTCACCAATTGTAGCGCGGTGTCGAGTTGAGCTTGACTATGAACACTGCTACAAGACAACGTGCCAATTAACCAATAAGATCCCCGTAGGCCAATATCAGAAGACAGATGATGGCTGTAGTCGAGATGTATTTGTTGGCGATCTCGTGGTATCGAAAGAATACCGAGATCGTGACAAAGGAGTACAAATGCGATCGGCAATGAAAGGTACGTGCGTAGTCACAAACAGCGTAGAAGTAATGGAATACAATGGAAGACCAAAATGGCTGTGATTAGCACAGTTAAACAAACGAGCACAATAAAACGATCACTGGTACAATTGGTTATAATAATAATTGTTTTCATCGAACCAATCGCGTTCTGTTGACAAAAGTAGGTCACTACAAGTGTATTATGTAATCAAGACAAAGGGATTTTATTCATATATGTAATTAACTTTTTATAGTAGGATATCGCTGTATAACACATTCGAATATCTATTGTGTTGGCTTAAACTTGTCAAAAGTGTCGCTCCTATAGAACAGTATGTCTTTATTTTAAGTGAGATTAGTGATCGAATATTATTTCTTTTTTGTTTGACAAACCAAAATCCTCATATGGAGGTATCAATAATTGATTAGCACAAGGAGCGTGAACTCCTTAAGAAGAGGCCTCTTCCATTCCGCCCACAAACATGTAAATAAATGTATGTTTATTCACAGAAGTGAAGAAAGTCAAGCTTTATCTATAATAACTGAAGGTACACAAGATATAAGATGTGTATCCTATAAGGCAACAAACTTTAACCAATGGTGATTGGCCCAATAAAACATTTGGTGTCGTCCAGAAAATAAAACTGTCCAAAGATTTTAATAAGAGTTTAAACTTAGGCTTTTAGTGTATTTAATACACCAATAAGCACATAACACAGAAAGAGGAATACTCACTTCTTTAAGCAAACCAAATTGGTTTTAGGTCACACGGACGCAGGACTAAAGTGATGCGAAATTTCTCTCATTCCAATAGTATTTCAAGATCACTATCTTAGATGTGGCCTCTAAAGTTCACTATATGACCTTGTCACCGACTCTTCATTGGTTGGTGCCAAGACAACTCATAGTCCGCCCTAATCATCAAAGGAGTATATTTTAGCGACAAACTTCTTCAACAATGGGCTCTATAATGACAAGTGAAAAACGAATTGGGACTCACAACGGTTGCTTCCACTGTGATGAAGTGCTAGCAGTTGTCCTACTCAAATATCTTCCTGAATACAAAGATGCTACCGTAGTGCGATCTCGTGATCCAGACATACTGTCTGCTTGCGACGTGGTTGTTGACGTTGGTGGTGTTTATGACCCTGAAACACTTCGTTTTGATCACCATCAGAAGTAGATACACTAAGGCTTCGTTATCCTTAGTCTAGGGATTTCTCGTTAACATGGTCCCAATATTTCGGCGTGAAGATGTGGGATGTTAAACTAAGCAGCGCTGGTCTGGTGTACGTACATTTTGGCAAAAGAGTACTCTCTCTACTGACTGGCCTTGAAATTGGGCACGAAGTTCTAGAAAAGATATACATGAAGGTACACTAATAAATATTATAACTAGATAAAGATATACGAATCGTTCATTTTAGAAATTGATGGGCAAGACAACGGTATTCCACAGTCTCAAACTCCATTGAAGTGAGTTTTTCCTACATTTTATCGTTCAGGTACAATATAGGCACTAGTTTATATTGCAGAGTTCGACGACTTAATCCCTGGTGGAATAATGAATCAGAGGAATCAGAAGTACGTTTTTGATTCTAGATTCTTAGTAAGCTCCTGATTTTGAACATATTAGAACCCCTCTTGCCAATCACCTACGAATTTTATGGGTTTAAGGTAACCTGACCTTAAATGCAACACCATTTACAAGTCTTAATAATAAGCAAATGCTGTCTATATTTGCAAATACGAGAGTTCAATCTCTAGATCAAATTTGGTTTCAAAAGCGATTTGACTAAATATATTTTCATAGCCGTGTGTCTTATAAATTTTAAAAGTAGTGAGAAAACCACATTTTTGAATAATATTTTCGTTTCATCATTCTTTCGATCGAAGGCATACCAAAAACTACGAACATGTGGCATAACTTTATTAAGAATAAGTTTCATGCCTTTATATTGTTCCCATTAGGCTACACTAAACCAACACCCAATTTAATAAGTCATGTTTTCATTTAAGTTTTGAGGTTTTCAAGTGTGATAATTTCGTTCAAACATTTGAAATTAACAAAGACGAAAATACCATGGACTGTTACAATTATTCTCTGTAATGCTACCTGGATTCTCTGACCACCCAGTGTTTCTTTTTTTCCCAGACTGCGAGTCACAGCTCCATTATCCTCAAAAAAAAGATTCAGTGATTAACTTCATAAATATAGTCATGAAATGCTGCTTGGTGGAATACACATGGATTTTTATAGAGCTATTCAATATGTGACCACTCAGTGACATTACTGCAATTTTCATGAATGCTGCTGCGAAATGCCCTGGTACAACTGAGGGTGAGCGTGTACAGCGCGTATACAGCCACTCCCAGGGAAGTCCCACTCACTGCCTTCTCGTGGAGGGGGTGTTGCTTACAAAGTTGAGAGGACGAAGATCGAATGTCCGGCGCTTTAACCAGGTTAATGAACGCAGAGGGTCCACCTAGGGGAGTTGGGAAACCCTGATTCCAGACCAATGGTGCACATGGGCTCCAGTATCTTGAAGGAACAAATGGCATATGAGTCAATTATTAATCACCGACTACCACGAGACTGCATTTCCTGACGTTGCTCCACTGCCTTGTGGGTCAGACCTTTAGATCGAAAGCTCCAGGGGTGGCCCCCTAAGAAAACTACCTGCGTCCGTCTGGACATCCGGACAGTAACACAGCCCGCACACAAATCAAGTGACTTGTGTGGCGCATATGTATTTGTTGCCTCTTTGTACCGATATTTATGTGTTCAAATAAATAAACATGAATGCTTAGTTTTAATTTCGCTAACCGTAAAACAGACCTATTGGGTGTAGCGGGGTTTAGTATATTCAGAACGTTATTCCCAACGCTGATAATTAACGCAACTAAGCTTATAAAATTAAATGAGTGGTTGCACGGTAAGGAAAATTAACTGATATGGTCTATCAAACCATATAACGTAAGTTTGTATGCAAAGCCCTTAAGTCGTTTACACGATTTCACGTATTCTTTGTTACACCAAATTACTCTTTGACACTGCTGTATCTATGCAAAAACTAGAACACCCGTTGTTTAAAATGGTGACCATCTCGAATGATTATCTATCCTGATTGTATTCGAGGTTTCTTTGTCATTGTACCATCGTGAGATTATCTGTAAATGTCACTTCGTTAGTCAATTCTCATCATGAAATTAGTTGTTAGTGGCCTTTGTACATCCTGTTTGTAATTCACAAGAAACTTCTTTAGTACTAAGATTTTAATGAATTATTCACAGTTCCTCCAATCATATCTTTATGTTTGTTGTGATTGCTTGTAAATATTCAGTTAGACACGACTTGTTAAAACCTAATGGTTGACGTAATATGCTCACGTGGGTTTGTATTTATCATTGCATATTCTATGCCATTCTTATCACATCTACAAGTTGTGAGGACTAATCTTTCATAGCAAATTTATGTTCATCAACGTAACTTTGTATGTATTAATCCTGTACCTTCTGCCTGTTTCTTTGTTAGGCTTCATTCCAAAGAGCAATCAATTTAGTCAGTCGTGAATTTCTTGATACTGTGGACTACTTTACTAACTGTTGGTGGCCTGCACGAAATATTGTAGCTAAAGCAATGAATGGTCGTGGAGATGTAGATTCATCGAGAACTATCATAGTATTAGATAGATCCTGTCCATGGAAGAGCCATCTATTTGACTTAGAGCGTGAAGAACGTATGGAAACAGTCGTTTATCCGGAACCACTCCGTCAAACAAGTTATCGTCCTATACCAAAGTTTCCCCCTCAAATTCTCTTTGTCATATTACCATCAGATGGTAATTGGGTTGTTCAAGCCGTACCAAAAGACAAGTTTGGTATTCGGTACGCTTATTTTTTCAAATTTTCCACTGCTATTTATTAAACGTCATCATCACTTAAGTTGTAAATTCAGCATAACTAATCATCATTATAATCTCCATGTAATTCCATTCACACCATTGATCTAAAACTATCAACTTCGAAAATACTCTGGTTACCAAAATCTTTTTCAATCGATCAGTGGTTTTTTACATCTTCAATAACAACGGATTTTTTTTAAAACTGACATAGTTGTATTTACAAGGTGAGATGCCTATTTATGTTTATTACATTCGTATCCGTACGTTTTGGAGAAAGGATATTCTTTGGCTTAAAGGGGATATCTGACTGTTTCGATCAGCGCATGTTTGATATATCTTTTTCATCTGTCAATGCGGGGGTAATATACCAGGATTAGTCTTCCGGTGTGAACCACTAATTTATATAAGAAACTGAAATCCTGCTGGCTTGCGAAACCGTGACACTAAACCTGGCTCGTTTAGCTTTCAAAACCGTGATTTATAATGCCTCTAGGGCGGCATCAATGCTTGGATTCACTAACTTCTAGTCTTAGCCATGTTGGTAGATGCAGACTACTTAGTTGGGGTCCGCGTGACTATCGTAACCAATGGTTGGAGACTCTTGGTGACATGGCTCAGAATCGATCACAATGGCGTAGGTGTATACACTCTCTGTCTTTCCTTAAGCTATGAGATTAAAATCGCTTCATATCTTTCTTTCTACGAACTAATTCCTTCCCATACTATGTCCTTATATGCAGTCTTTATTTTATATATTACCACCACTGAATTAACTACTTCTATGAATCCGGTGTTCATCTTGTTGTGCTAATGCGGTATGGCAACTTGGACCGATACACATATGTGCCTGGTCCTACGTTGTAGCTGACTAACTGAGTGGAATGCGTCTGTCAGCTGTCCTTCATGCACCGCTTTGCAGTATAGTCCGTCATATGAATTCCGTATGATTGTGACGATCTCAAAATGTCGAAAAAGTTTCCATAATGTTCTCCTATCCACACTGTCAAATGCAGTATAGTGATGTATGGTGACGAATTTCATTCAATTGATTGTTCAACGATGAACCGTAGTGTCGCGATTTGGTCTGTGCACAACCGGTCCTTACGGAATCCAGCTTGTTGGTCTCGAAATCGAGCGCTTACTGTGTCTCTCATCTGGTTCATCAACACTTTGTTGAATACTTTTCTTGGTACTGACAGTAGTATGATGCCTATGTAGTTCTCACATTTGCTCAAATCTCCTTTCGTTGGCACTTTAATGAGATGTCCTTCTTTCCAGTCCGTCGGCACTTGTTCTTCCCCCCCAAATCTTTCTGAATAGAATGTAGAGCTTCATTGCAGTTACTTTTTGTCTAACTTCAGTACTTCGGCTAGTATATTGTCAGGTCCTGCTGCCTTCCCACTTTTGATTTGTCTGGTGACCATCCTGATTTCTTCGATCGTTGATGGAGTGACATCTATGGGAAGAGCTGTAGGTGCTGCTTTGATGTTTAGTTGATTCAATGGAGTTGGTCTATTCAGGAGTTCCTTGGAGTGTTCCACCTATCTATTCCTCTGTTCTTGAATTTCAGTGATTGGCTTGTCCTCTTTATCCTTGACCGGTCTGTCTGGTCTACCATATTTCCTTGCCAGTTTCTTCGTCGTGTCATATAGTTGTCTCATATTTCCTTCTTTTTCAGCTTTTCCTCTGTCGTTGCTAGTTCTTTCACGTATTTCTGCTTGTCAGCTCTAATGATCCTCTTCACTTGCTTGTTTGTTTCTGTGTAGTCAGCTTGTGTCTTTACTTTCACTGTCCCTGTTCGGCTGTTGTTGATTTCTGTCTTGTTGTTCTTCCTTCCTTGAATCTTGTTCAGGGTGTCGATAGAGGTCCATTCCTTATGATGATGCTCCTTGCGGCCCAGAACCTCCTGATACGTTGAAGTTAGTGCTTTTTGATCTCTTTCTAATTGTCCCCTATAATAGTTTTCTCTTCTTCTTGTAAGGCTGGGAACCCGATGTTTAGAGCCATCTTGAATTCGTAGAGTTTGTCAGTATCTCGAAGGAAGGCTATATTGAACCTTTACCATGCTGTTTGTCCAGTTGTCCAATGCATTTTTTAGCTTCAGCTTCATCTTAACAACCACTGGTTGGTAGTGATCTGAAGCCGTGTCAGCTCCTCTCCTGGTTCTCACGTCTTCCATTGACCTTGTGAAATTTTTACTGATGCGAATATGATCGATCTGGTTCTTCGTGCTGTGTTCCGGTGAGACCCATGTAGCTTTGTGTATGTGTTTGTGTGGGAATATTGTGCCACCTATAACCATTTTGTTGAATGCACATAGATTTGAAAATCTTTCACCATTCTCGTTCCTTTCTCTCAGTCAGTCCATATCGTCCCATGATATCCTCATATTCAGTGTTGTTTACTCCGACTTTGGTGTTTAGATCTCCCATCAGTATGATGAGATCCTTTCCTGAGGACTTCGCTATAATTGATTGCAATCTCTCGTAAAACTGATTTTTATCATCGTCATTGCTATCATTTGTGGTTGCACAACATTGGATGACATTCATTTTGATTCCCTGCTTCTTTGTTTTGAATGATGCTTTGATGATCCTGGATCCATGAGATTCTCATCCTATAAGTGCATTTCGTGCTTGTTGGACAGCATCAGTACAACTCTCTAGGTGTGTGGAGCATTTTCCTCTTCGTGACCGGAGTACAGCAGCATCTTTTCTGTATCTAACTATTGCTGTTCAGTTAGGGTGTAATGGGTTTCACTGGTTTTGAGCACTGTCAAGTTGTATCTCCTCATTTCTGTTGCTATTTGACTGGTCTTCATGGCACCCCACATTGTCCGGACGTTCCGTGTACCTATAAAAATTGTTGCTGTGGTTGTTAGAAGAGACATCGGCTTCGTGACTTCCGAAGAATCTCGAATTTCATCATGTATCATGATTTTTCCCTCAACTCGGCGGGCAGAGTTTAAATGTTTTAATTTGTTTATTCTGGTTAGCGTATTTTTAGCAAGGTTGTTTTCTATAAGATGGGAGAGCTGATCTCATGCTCAACCCTCCTCCTTTAACCGGGCTTGGGACCGGCAGTAACCCTAGAAGAGCTATAGGCAGGGTTATTGTCATAACTAATTGGCATATATGAATAATTTATAGTCTAGTTTACGTGCATAATTTCAATCAATTCTGCTTCTCAGTGATTCAAGCAGAAACGCTACCGAAGGATGAACTAAGTATATCCTTCTTTCAAATTAATATTTAAGGTTATTACATAAACTCATAAACCCATTTTATTATTTACTGTATCTAGTTACTAATTACCGCTATTTACTAACTTTCAGTCGACCGATCACTTGTTCGTATCTCAATCTATCTATATGGGTTTGAGCAGTTATTTGATGGTTTCATAACGCACTAAATAAGTTTTTTTTGTTATTTATTGAGTTTCATGCATATAAACTTTGTAAGAATTATTCTTAACCTTTATTCACAACTTGCTTTATTGAATTAGGTTACCATTCCCTAGCGACTGGCGTTCACTTCAAGATGATCAATTGTGTGCGATCACTGGAATCTCAGGTTGCATTTTCGTGCATAACTGTGGTCATTTAGGTTCCAATAAAACACGTGACGGTGCAATTGAAATGGCACGTTTTGTTGTAAATGAATCAAAACTTCAACAGGAGAATTTTATTGGAACTACCTTAACGCCACCAAAATTCAGTCGTGGTCGTGGTCGCAAGTCTTTTGTGAATAATCGTAATAAAAAATGTTAGTTTCTCTTTCTTATTGAGACCCTGTTTTTTTAAGAAGAACCAAAGTAAGAGTTTCGAAACTTTTATTTCATTACTGAGTCATTATTTTTTAAGCAATCAGCTGTGTACCTGAAATTTTTGAGGATATTGATATTTATTTTTATTAATGATTCATATTGTGTAATCCTTTTATTCTTATTTTCATAACTTACTCATAAGATTTATGAGTGTAATTATTTGCGTTCTTGCATTTGCTGTACAATCCATGTATAACGAAATTAACCTGATGTAATCATTTTGTTTATACAACCGCAGAATATTTATAGTTTATTCCTTTTTATTTGTTGATATTTTCATAAAATAACTTCAACCTGTTTCTCCTTGTTTGATTGTTTTTCTCGTACTTTGTGTTGTTTTTTATATAAATAAAGAACATGTCTCCTAGAAATTTTTTTGGATAGTTGATGGATTTAAGGTTGAATGCGCACATTTGAATTTGTATTCTCTTCGTTCATTAAAATGATTGTATTGATTTTCATACCATGAACTGTGTGGTTGTGAGTTCTTGAATTTTTCGTTTTCATACCATTAAGGACACTGCTCCAACAATTCTGGTTTCCAGGATAGGTCAAATTTAGTTTCTAGCTTGGTTCATTCTTATGTAGAAGGGAATTCTCGCCTCTCACATTAGGCTTATTTTAGGTGCCAAAGTTCATAGTTCCAATGATTTAGGATTTGGTAAGGTGACACTATGACAATGTCTTACTCGTCTAATTGTCCATCTTATCCGAATCACAACCGGAAGTTGAACTGACACCGCGTCCATCAAGCCGCCAGATGCCGCAGCTACGGTTAGACAAAATTGCTTCCGTTAGTAAATCTACTCTATCTTTTATTATTTTGATTACTTTTTTGTATCTAGCTTAGCTGTGTCTGAAACATGTTTGTGTTCTGTAGGCTGTTTTGTAATAAATCCGTATTTCGTATGACAGCCCAACGCTTCGCTATACATCTCCAAACATTCTTGTTAACTAATTTCTCTTTTATGAATTTGTAGACATTATCAGGAGGTTGGGGACGTCGTCAATTTTCACGTATTCTAAAAGCACTTCAATGAGGAGTATAAAAATATAATCTGGAATTCAGTTTGCTGCTTTTATAAAGTTTTCTACCATTTTAAAGTCTGCTCAAATAGTTTGTTATAAAACGGGACGGATAATAATTTTTTAAATGCAATTATACCTTCACTACAACTAATTAATCTCAATTTGGTTTGATATCTTTACACTTCCCATCACCTACAACTGTTCTCGATACCCAGATAAGTCATTTCAAGACAAACTGCTAGTTATTGTCGATTCTCACCTTATTCAATGATTGCCTTTGTGTACACTCTTACTGGTGGTGTGCTTTTTGTATGATCGGTTTTGTGGCTCACAACCTGTTGGCAAAATGATGCTCTTTCTTTAGAATAAATAATATACTGCTTCTTAACGTTTTCATTTGCATCATGGATTCTAGTTTCTAAATATACTTAAATAAGTTAGAAACTTACAAGATATCTGAACGTATTATCCAGTCACCGCTACTTAATACTGTAGTTTGGACCAGTTAATTTTAAAAGTTTCGTTAGGAAGTCGTATAGAAATGTTATTAAATTAATAGATCAGATATCTCTGTTAACCTTGAAAGTGACCTGATTGATATCCACTTTCAGTCAGAGATTATTCCCGTTTTTACACAAACTTTTTAATACATATATATATATATATATATATATATATATATATATATATATATATATATATATATAATAGGTTTAGATAATATATTCTAATGTCCTTTTTAAAACATTAATTACCATATAATCAGATTATTATATGTAATATTATATAATGAATATGCTTAACCATAAATTGACTAAAGTCCAAAATATTTATTTATGGTTTTTCACTAAGTGGGTTGAAGGTATCGTACTTGCTGCGAGACGTAAATGTCTTTCATCTAATTCCTTGTAAATAGTACGTAAAGAAGATTACTATATAACCCTGAACTACAAAGAAATAATAATTCAGTTTTTATTGATTTTTTTTTATAATCCTTCAGTTTTTGTCAGTCAATGTAGAAAAATATCTTCATATTCTATCTAATCTACACGGTCCTTCTAATTAAATATTAATTAACCAAATTAAAACTAACCACCATATTTGATAAATAGTAATAACTATTCTAATAAGTAGTTATTATTTCGCAATGTGAAAATATGTTCCAGTGACATAAAATCTCTTATGATGAATTCCTTCCTCATATTTCATATATAAACGGAATACACCCATTGAAACATTAAATAAGAAAGATTAGTTCAGCGAAGAGTTCTCTTTTCGGCGAATTCATTTTCAAAGCTGTCATCATGTATAACGAGTTTATTATCGATACTATTATCATCTTTAAAAAATAAGTATATATATTTACGATTGTACAGCTTTGAAAATGAATTCGCCGAAAAGAGAACTCTTCGCTGAACTAATTTTTCTTATTTAATATTTCATATATGTTTTGTTTTAAATAATACATGACACACAACGTTACTCATTTCCTTAATTTTAAATATTTGAAGTGTATGATGGATAAATGATATTTGAAACACTCTTTACATACTTTATTTAAATATTATTGGCTACATATCTGTTCATTAAGAAATTTCGGTTATACTCAATCTTACTACGGTATTTATCTGAAGATAACATTATTAGTATCCAATCCCCAAATAAAATATTTCACTGGTATGCTTATGTCATTAATGTTGTATTAGTGACTGGTTTCGGTTGCTCTATCAAATTTACTGTTACTTATATAATTAAAAAATACATTATCCATTTCATCAAATAAAATAAATATTCATTAGTGTACGTTAGTTATATGGAGTTATCTTTTATTACCCTATAATGTCTTAGTCTGTCATTGGTTAGTAGGATTTTACACTTAGTTTTGTTGAGTTCACATAGTTACTGTAATTGCTTCATAATAAGACAGGCAGACGGAACAGAAGAATATAATACACATCTTGCAACTTAGTAATTTTCTTAGGAATATCATTAAATATATATTAAGACGAAACGGTTTATTATTAAATAATAATCAGGATGAACTATCGCCCTTTGATACCGTGGTTTTACCCCTACTGGTAAAAAAAACTGCAACGAATCTTAAAAATACACAGAATAAAGCGTAATATAAAACAATCGACACTTTGAAATGCTTTAGTTTGAATCAAGGAAGAGACCTCTTTTACCTCTGAACAGAATTGTGTGTGTAGATTAGGTTTTGTCTATTGTAATATGTTCAAGAGTCTTCACGAAAAACCGTAACTCGTGCAAGGAATATTTAAGCTACATATAAGACCTAATAATTTAGATGATATCGAAAATCTTCAAATAAAATCATTTATATCAATATGTTACTATCGACCAACATTAAAGTGATATTAAAAATATTAAAATTATTCAGAAAGGTTTTTAATTATACAGAAAATCGGCCTTGGTACGTCCGAGTGGGGAGAGTCCGCTATCCCTCTCTAAATGCTCTCACATGGCCATGCGTATACAGCCCCTGCCAGGGAAGTCCTACTCACTGCCTTCACGTGGCGGGGGTGTTGTTTACAAAAATGAGAGGACGAAAAGCGAATGTCCGGCGCTTTAACCGGATCCCAAATCAATGGTGCACATGGGCTCCAGTATCCTGCGGGAATAAATGGCGTATGAACCAATTTTTTGGTCACCGGCTTCCATGGGACTGCATCTCCTCACGATGCTCCACTGCCTTGTGGGTCAGACCTTTAGGTCAAAGGCTCGGGGTGTGGCCCCTTAAGAAAACCACCTGCTTCGGTTTGGGCACCCAAGCAGTATCACAGCCCTTACACAAATCAAATGAGATTTGTGTGGCACATATGTATTTGGTGCCTTCTTGTACCAATATCTATGTGTTAAAATAATAATAATAAAATAAAATCCATTTATTTAGACTACGTAAACCTCACATTATTAACATAAACAAACTAACTCAACTTTTTTAAATTAAAAAATTCCCATCCACTCAGATATGCGCGAATACAAAAAAGTGCTTCATATTTGACTTGAGTGATATACATCATTACGGTTAGATATGTTTTGATTGTGCTAATATTATTTGATTTGCTCCTAAATGATATTTACACTTGTATGAATTTTAATTCAGTTATTTATTTTTTCTGTAAAACTAACTTGCACTACATTGTGAAATATCGAAAATTCAATTAAAACTCAGCTGTGTGATAAATTACTTCAGCTCAAATAACGTTTCATTGTTATGCGATCTATATGTCACATTACATAAGTTATCCCATAATTTTAAAATAATAATTTATGTAACTTTCTCATCAGATCCTATTACTAACACTAGATATTTACATGATAAATAATAAAGTAGTTACTATTACCAAACAGTATATTGGAAAAAGTAATGCGCACTGCTAAGGAGTCTCACAATAGAACGAAAGGGCCGTCTAGTGCTTCCAGGTTTTCCATGGTGGTCTAGCTTCAATTGACTCAAGATCTCAACTATCAAAATTACTATAATATCCACAAAAACCCTTCTGATATGAATCAACATATGCTCACTGGTGACTGGTTTTAAGAGGTATTTCCTGGAGTTCTAGTGAGAAACAATGACCAGTAGAGTTCAACCGGGTCTGTTGTGAGATAGTAGCACACTGAAGACTATAGCGGACGTGTGGCTCAATTTTGTGGATTGGCTGAAGTTAGACATTAACACCGTTGGATGCCGGCTCGGTGGTCTAGAGGTTAAGCGTTTGCGTGCGGGACCGATAGGTTCTGGGTCCGAACCCCGCGGGCGGGATCGTGGATGCGCACTACTGAGGAGCTGCACACAGGGACGAAATGGCCGTCCAGTTATTGTGTACCGCGGCGTGGCTACTCTAAATTCTACCGACCGACCAACTTCAGATATCCCAGTACGACCCCAATACTGTTCCCCGATCTCCAATATATCAGAACACGAACCGTTAGATGAAAATTGTTTATGGGGTCAGGAGAATAATAAGAATGAGAATCAGAATGACAATTTACAGACAAATGCATATTTATACAGTTAGGACTACCGTGACTATCGACCAACAGGAGAATGACACGTGAAATAAATATTGACCAATAGGAAAATGACACCATTTCACGTTCAAGGATAGCATTAGACTTAACAGGATAATTTTTGGGATATTTTTCTGAATATCCCAACACCAGTGCTTTCAGGTTTTCCATAATGGTCTAGCTTCAATTGACACATGATCTCAACTATTAAATTTAAAAAATCATCAGTTAAAAAGCTGTTTGAGCTAATGCTGTTGTAGGTTCGATGACAGTTATGATTAATCCACTTTTCGTTTAGGATTGTTT